CCATATTGAATTTATCCTAGCTTTGACTAATTATCACTAGATCTTATCTTTGTAGTTATTTCTTAGCATAATTGATGAATTATTATTGAGAAATTCTTTATAATTCATTATTTTAATACTGACATATTCATTTCGGTTGTAATTAAATCAAGAGATAAATAAGTTTAGTTCAAGCCTGCCTAGGTTACATGTAGAAGTCCTCAATCTTTAATATTTTGCAATCGCTTTCTCACATTGAGATTACTATCAAGCTCCTGTCATATCTTTAATATTTTACCCAGTCCCTCATTGAAATTTTTCTCGAGTCCATTTAATCTTTAATATTTTGGAATTAGTCTCACACTAATTAAAATTGCTACCAAGTCCCTTTAATCTTTAATATGATATCTTGATACTTGTCTTCGCAAATTGAAATTGCTATCTAGCCCCCCACCTTCTTAAGTTACTACAAAATTAGCCCTTCAAATCATTGAACTGCTTACAGGCTCCCAAAATCTCGGGGAAACTACATGATAATATAAATGACCCGTTGCTTCTACTTAGAGATATTAAATGGGTGGGTATGGGTATTAAATGGGCGGGCCATAAATGGGCGGGCATGTTTTGCCCATTTACCCATTTATGGCCCATTTAACATTATTTAAATGGGTGGGTTTTTACCCGCCCATTTAATAAACGGGTCGTCCATTTGCCCATTTAACTATAGTAACTATATATGTATACTACTTTTGGGGTGTTTTTTGTAAACTTTTAGGGTTTTTTTTATAAACTATTGTGAGTTTTTTGCAAACTTTTTGGGAGATTTTTGCAAACTTGTTGGGGTTTTTGATAAAATACTAACAAAGATAGGAATATAAACAAAGATAAACAAAGGCAGACAAGTTCATGATTGAACCATTTACAAGTCTGGATAAAAGTACATACCTCACACATTTGCAAAATTAACCTCAAATTTCCAAACCAAAAGCCAAAAGATCAATAACAACAAAATTGAGAGAATATTTAAATGAATTAAGATAGAAAACACAAGGTATGCAAGGATCCGTATAAAATCAATAACTTGATATAAATGCCATCATAACTATCAGCAACATGATCACGATTAGTAAGGACAATCTACTTAATTACTTGATAAACTAGAAGAGTAGTAAGTTCGTCTATAAACAAAATAGTAGCACAACCATAGTCCACTTATTTCCCATCTTTCAAATGTTCAGGCATGAACATGATCATGACAGAAGAAAGAAAAGACCAGGAAACAAACATAACACTCGGTTGGACTCAATAGTAACATTAAAAGTACTGCAGCAAGCCTCATATGTATCTTCATAGCAAGGGTTAGAATCCGAAATCACCATAAAGACCTCAATATTTCCCCTGCATCAATCATCCATAGAATTAGTTAATTTTGTCACAAACGTATGATATTGTCATAATAATGAAACACTAGATAGCAAGATGCGATCTTTGGGAACCAGGGGACTAAAGATCAGCTAAATACACAAAGAACTTATCAGATACGTAATCATATAACAAAATTATGGTTTTACGAGAACAGGAAACAGGATAGTAAATACAGGAACCAGAGCCAAGAGACCTGCATGCATTGTTAATATGCTTGAACTTTGAGCAAAAGGCATGTGACACTCAGTTCAAGTAGTTTGAAAATCTAACAGCAAAAGGATTATATGACTTAATACAGCATAAAATAAGGCCGAACCTCGGTTGCCAAGTTCACCATCCAGTGATTCCTCATAAAAGAAGCTGAAAGGCCTTGCAGATAGTAATGATTTAGACAATAGCTCATAGGAAAACCACTCTTTTAAATTATTCATCTTCACTTAATCTGAAAAACAAAGTGAAAGTGTAGAATTCAATACCCAGCAAATAAACGATAAGCAAAAGATTACTACATACAAGGAAAAACTTTTGTCTATAGAATTCAATACCCAGCAAATAAACGATAAGCAAAAGATTACTACATACAAGGAAAAACTTTTGTCTAAGCATATAATTTTGCCTTTCCATACTCTGCTCAAGCAGTAAATGTCAGAATGCACAATAATATGCTAGGAATGCTGGTATTTTGTCTAAGCATATCAGCAATTTTCACAAAGGCGTTAAGACAATTACTCCTGTTGCATGGGTCCATGAGAGTTTCCGAGTTTAATTCAGTAATTAGATCCTAAGCCATATAATTTTGCCAAGAGCACGACTGTTTAGAGTATAACTTTCACCACAACGACTGGTTGGGTTTAACTTTCAGTAACCTCTTATAGTTATACCTATCATCGACTGGTTCAAAGGGAGCAATTTATGTGTAGCAAATCAAGTTCTATCATCCATTTATTACCAATATATCAAACTGTCCAAAAGGAGCACCAACCCTTGCATTACCCCAGGAGGGACCACTAGATTGTCCACTACAGAAGAGAATAGAGAAGGAGAAAAAGCCACTCTTGCTCCTGAAGGTAGACCACAAAATTGTGAAAAAAAAACAGAAATGCTCAGGCTAATCATAAAAAAGAATACGCTCATTAAGAGGAATTCACTAGTAGAAAATCGTGTATCCTAGACGGAATATTCTAAACGAAAAAATTTCCGTCTAGTTTGTCATTATTCTAGACGGAAAAATTCCGTCTAGAATATTCCGTCTAGGATAAAACATTCAAGACGGAAATTTCCGTCTAGGATATTATTCTAGATAGTTTTTTATTTTTTTTAATTTTTTTTAAATAATGACCAGATATCCTAGACGGAAATTTCCGTCTAGGATGCCCTAGCTCATTTTAAAAAAAAATACGTCATCAAAATTTCCCCAAAATCGAAATCCCCCCCTCACAATTTACGCCCAATATCGAAATTACCACACTCATTTTTAATTCAACCATCATCCATTCTTCTCATCTCCTACCAAAGAACGCCCCCCCACTCCACCCACTCTAACTCGCGGAATCGGACACCGCCAGATCCCTCCATCGTCGCGCCCGCTTCCCTTCCGCCGCCGCGACCGTCAGCCGCCCACCATAACACCGGCCGCCCCGCCTTCCTACTCTCCCAGGGCCCACTCGTCCCAAGCCCTTCACCTCTCTGCCGCTCTATGCGCACGTAGGCATCTGCGGCTCCTGCATGGATCGCCGACAGCCGCTGTCTCCTCGATCACAGCCCCGTCCTCCATGGATCGCAGACAGCCGTTGTCCCCAAAATTTTCCCCTTTCCCCAATATCAATCAAATTTATCATTATCTAATCTAATTTCAGTATTGGTGCGGCTAGGATGTTTTTATTTGGCTTTGACGAAGGGCGAATCTTCATGAATGACGCATCCCATGTTCTCAAGCTCAAGTGTAACCCTTGCAATTGATAGAAAGAAGTCATTTTTTTTACTTTTTTTTTTGGGAAATATGAGGTATTAACTTCTCTGAACTTATATTCTTTGTTTTGCTTCTAGAATTGTACATTACTACGGTGGAATTGTATGTTCCAGGTTCAGCCAATGGTTATGCTCTAATCTAGGTACTTCCCTCTTTTATATGATTCTTGATTATTTCTCTAGTTTGCTAGGTCATAGGTAAGGGATATCAATTTGCATAAAATCTGTGATAATATGTACACAATGTGTGAATTTTGGATGCAACGGTTATGGATCCTTGTCTAAGAAGGAAATGCAAGAGAATGAACCAGTCAAGTACAAGCATGAATTGGTTCTCTTGGATACATTAATATTTTTCATGAACTTCTTTGGAGTTAGGTGATTGTCTACTTTGTGAATTGTACTTGTATATATGTGTTTAGGCCTTTTTTTTGTTGCTTTTGTTCATTCAGTAGTCAATCTACAAAATTTTGGTTCTTCCCTCTTTTGGCTACTTGTGAGGAAGTATATGCAATCAAGGATTTTTTTTTTCTCACTATAACTTAGTATATTGATTGTAGAGTTTCACTTGCATCTAACAAACCGACCAGACAATATAACTCGATGCATTTGAGTCAAAAGTCCAAACAGCTATATAACTTATAGTTTGTATGCGTCAATACTACACCTAATTTGTTGTTGATTGTTTTCTAATAGAGCAGCCAAGGCCACTGCAACTAGTGAGTAGTTCAGTATTGTGTACATGCACTCAAAATAGATTCTGCAAAAAAAACTATGTAGCATAGCATCCTAGACGGAAATTCCGTCTAGGATGCTCAAATTCTGTCTAGGATACTTGTTTTTTTGAAAAAAAATTAAAAAAATTAAAAAACACTCTAGACGGAAATTCCGTCTAGGATGAGTATCCTAGAAGGAAATTTCCGTCTAGGATACCATCCTAGACGGAAATTTTTTCCGTCTAGGATGAAGTATTCTAGACGGAATTTTCGTCTAGAATAATCCGTCTAGGATGTATTCTAGACGGTTTTGAGTTCCGTCTAGAATAATCCGTCTAGAATGTATTCTAGACGGAATTTCCGTCTAGAATATTACATCCTAGACGGAAACATACTAGACGCGTATTCTAGACGGAATTCCGTCTAGGATACTCATCCTAGACTGAATTATGGGTATCCTAGACAGAATTTTCTGTCTAGGATGCCTCATTATTTAGTAGTGATTCAACCTAAACTTGTTATAGACTACTACTAGCTTCATCCTCGCCTAAACTTTTTATTTTCATGTTTCATGTCCTCTGATGCAACTCCTGATATCCATGTCAAGTGCCTCCTTCCATAATTACTTTATACGACTACACTGAACACAATGGAAGAAAACGCTTTCACTCCTCTTTCCACAGAAACACTTGAACAACAAAAGACAACACAAAAATGCTCCTTTTGCTGCAGAACTACCTTAGTATCATGAAAATTAACATTTTTCCCAGGTAATTGTTTCATCTACACTTACAACCAGGATTATACAATCTTACATTCAGTTCTTAGGTTACTGAGCTTGCTCCTTGAGAAAATAGCAAACATTTATTTATATGTTGTAACCAAAACATGCAAAGGTGCAGAGAAAGATGCTTAAGCCTGGTCAGCATATGGTGTCAGGGATAATTTGCTATCTATAACACACATATTTCATAAGAGAATGTCAACCATATAAATCTTTATTTTTACATGGAAACTGATAAGACACGGATTCATGCTCCAGCTTCACAATGGTTAGCTCCGTATCTATAACAACAATCAATATTTAGCCAACAGCATTAGAAAAGCAAGTTTATGATGTACACTAATTTCATGGAACAAGTAAAATCTTACCTTAATCACTTTCACCTTTCGATTCATAAACCTCTAGATTACTGAAATCATGTACTAATAAATTTCCTTCTTCAATGTCTGCCAGAGCTGCATTTAATAAGAAAAAACAATATTAATATTTTGTAAAAAAATATGTAGCCCACAACAATACAAATACAAAAAAACAATAAAGGGAAAAAAAGAAGGCAACTAACAAGGAATCATGTCTAACCAAGAACCAGTACAAATTTGAGCTTCAGCATTCTCCGGAAGAAGACGATTTCGATACTTGTCTACAAATTTGAGCTTCAGCATTCTCCGGAAGAAGACGATTTCGATACTTGTCAAGCACACGTCCCGCAATGCTGAAAGCCGATTCAGAGGCCACCGAAGTAATAGGAATACTTAATATATCTCGAGCCATCATCGAAAATTGAGGACGCTTCTCGCATTCGCCTTTCCAATACTCGAGAACATTCAAATGATCATTTTTCTTCCAACTGACTAATTTTTCATTTAGATACTCTTCTAACCGAGACTTGGACCTACTTGCTAAATATAGTTGACTCTCAAACAATTCAAACTCAACAATCTCATCATTAGGAACATCTCCAAAGTTCTCTTCACCATTGCTCTCAGCTACAGATGTATCTAGAGATGCTCGCTCATATTCTTTGTAAAGCCTTCTCAGTTTCTCTAAGATTGTCAACACATAATCAGAACTAACTCCCAATTTTTCAAAGCAAAACTCTACATACTTCACCTTGTATCGGGGGTCCAAAATGACTGCAAATGACAAAATAACACTGTAACATTCCCAATATTTATCAAATTTTATTTTCATATCATTTGCCATGGATTTTATATCTTGATCATCACTTTTCATCTCCTCCATTATGCATTTTTGAATTTTAAACACTCCACCAAAATATAAGTTGACAGTTGGATATTTACTTCCAGAAAAAAGAGTGCACACTTCATAAAATGATTTTAAAAACTTTGTAATTTTTTCAGCCTTTATCCATTCTTCACTTGATGGCAAAAAAGTAAAGTTTGGATCAATCGACTCCAAGTGCTCAAATGCCCGACGAAAGTTCAGAACACTCTCCAACATTAGAAACATAGAATTCCACCTGTTGGACACATCCTGGTCTCTGCAAACTTCTTTTTTCTTCCAGGAGGACTCTTCACATACTTGATGCATTCTCTTATCTTAGACAATGATTTATCGATAACCTTTAGCCCATCTTGCACAACAATATTTAGAATATGAGCACAACACCGCACATGCAAAAAATCACCATTACTAACAAAATGATCTTCTAAAACTGGATGATATTTTAAAATTCTCATTGCAAAAAATCACCATTACTAACAAAATGATCTTCTAAAACTGGATGATATTTTAAAATTCTCATGAAATCATCATTATATGATGCATTGTCCAAGGTAACAGTAAAAATTCTTTTTTCAATACACCAATCCTTCAGCAAATGAAATAACTTCTCTACTAGAATTGCTGCACTATATGGGGATGAAACATGAGATAGAGCTAATATCTTATTCTGCAATATCCAACAGTCATCAACACAATGTGCAATGAGAGACATATAGTAGTCAGAGGTGGAAGAAGTCCATAAATCCGTGGTTAGACAAATTCTACTAGGAACTAGCTTTAAAACTTGTTTAAGATTTTCTTTCTCTTTCTTGTACAACTTGATCAAATCTGTTTTAGCAGTGTTCCTTGAAATATGCTTGACTTCAGAATTTAGAAAACTATGCAACTCACGGTTTCCTCGATGTTCAACAAAAGTGAATGGATAACCATGCAATGCAATTACTCTAGCAAGCATTTCTCTATATTTTTCTTGATTTAGTGGCATACTTTTCCTGGAAGAATCAGCCTCATCTAAGTTTCTTTTCGGACAAGAATCCATATACCTCAACATTGTCTTAGTGCCATGACCACCAACATAAATATGATTACACATATTACATTGAACTTTAGTTTTCTCATCATTATCGGTAGATAACTTCGTAAAGTGATCCCAAACTTTTGATGTTTGTCTTCTTGTACGTGTAGAAGTACTCTCATCATCACTACCATCATCATGGATGCTAAATTGATTATTTAAAGACATGATCGCTAAAAAAATTAATTTAATAGCACATTAATTTTGGTAATAAACACATAATAAAGTGGAATATAAATTGACTCAACATGAAAATAGATTTATATATGTATTAAGAAATGAAAAAACTATGACGATAAGTATTTGAGCAGCCATGCAATGGCATAGGCAATATATATGTATTAAGAAATGAAAAAACTATGACGATAAGTATTTGAGCAGCCATGCAATGGCATAGGCAAATGGTAATCAACGGGGACATATAAGCTTATGACGATAAGTATTTGAGCAGCCATGCAATGGCATAGGCAAATGGTAATCAACGGGGACATATAAGCTCAAAAAAGACTACCCCAGCAGTTAATTCACGAGTGTATGTAAATTTTATGTATATGCACATATTTATCTACCTCTGTATTTGATTTTTTGTGCGAAAATGCTTCTACCAACAAAACAAGGAAAACAATAACAACAACAACAATGTAGCATTTAATTCACATACACATCGATTATGTAGCAAGTGTTTGATATGCATGAATAACAATAATGAATTCACTCAGCAAGTCTCTGTTATGATTCTCGCCAGCCAGAGCTAATAGTAAAAGGGGAGTAATGGAAAATGAAAATCTTATCCACAAAATCTCTACTCTTCTGAAATCTGCATTGACTGGTACCAATATCCCATTACAATTAGCCTAAAATTTTATCTTAAATCATCAAATCCCTCCCTAAAGGAACCAAACCCAACAGTTTCACCTTTTCATCATAATAACTCTCCAGGCAAAAACTGTTCTCTAATAAGTCAGAACCAAGAGTCTACTTGCGTATCGAGAAACGCGCAGGCGGCCTCCAACGCGACCTCGAGTGCCCTGAACTCAAACGGGAGGTAATCCACCGCGGCCGAGCCGTCCCCTCCGGCGCCGGCGAGGATCCTGCGCTGCAGCGACTTCAGCGACGACTTGAGGTGGCGGAGGTGACAACTTCAGCGACGACTTGAGGTGGCGGAGGCGGCGACTTCAGGCGGAGGAGGAGGAGGAGGCGGAGGAGATTGGGATCAGGATTGAGGCGGAGGAGATTGGGATTGAGGCGGAGGAGAAAGAGGAGATTGGGAATTTGGGATCAGGTTTCTTTTGTTTTGGTTTTGGGAATACGATGGGCGAGCAAACGGGCGAATAAACACTGCCCATTTAGTGCCCATTTAGAATAATGTAAAATAAACCCGCCCAATTAGGTCCATTTAATTAAATGGGTGGACATTGGGCGGGCCAAATGATGGACGGGTCAGGTGGGTAAATGAGTATGGGCCAAAATTGACATCCCTACTTCTACTATTACCAAAACGCACGTTACAATTACTACTAGTCCTTTTAACCTTTAATATATATTGATACTAGTCTTCACAAATTAAATAGCTATCTAGTCCCCCAACTTCTTAAGTTACATCAAAACTACCCCTTCAAATCAGTGAAAAGCTTACGGGTTCCCAAAATCTCGGGGAAATTACACCATAATATAAATAATCCCTTGCTCCTACTACTACCTAAACGCATCCTAAATTTCCATAGACTAATCAATAAAAAGCACTGTCTACTAGAAATTTAGCGTAATGTTTAGCATATGAACGTGCACATGATGTGAGACTTTTTTTTTCATATTTGTAATTTCAAATAATTTCATTTTGCAGTGATCTTCTAATAACTATAACATTGAATACAATAGAAAAAGATAAAATGTCCTAGAAGCAGAAAAAATGAAAAGGAAAAAAAATTTTACTCGCACAGATACATATTGAACCTGTTAATTACGTTACAATTGAGGGGGAACATGGGAAACTTGGGCTCATATAAGCCCGGCCCGTGATTGATTTTTCCCTCACGAACGAGGGGACGAGAATCTTAGTGGATTCGAACCACCAACCTCTCAAGGTGCTAATAAAACCTCGAGCGCTCTTACCATTTTGAGCTTAAAGATCCACAATCAAAAGATGCAACCCCAATTTCATAATAATAAATAGACGTCATACTTCACTTTCATATTTTAATCTTGCACGGAAGCAAACAGAACATCGTGCAACGATATTTTTCATTAACAAATTGAATTTCTCATTTCCCAAGGTCTGCCTTCTACAATCACCATCCAACTTCAGTGGTCCTACACTAGGTTAAGAGGTGAAACAGAAGCCAGCGTCTTATTGCTTATCTAGAAGGCTTCGTGGGGACTGGCAAAAATAGTCTGGCAGCCAAATAATTTCAAAAAGAATTGCAACCACAAAGCCTGCAAGCTGGAGAACTTGCTCAAGGGTCTCTCACATCAGAATTAACAAAAAAAATTCTAAATAACCACATTCAAATTTTTTTTTCTAAAAATAGACACCCTTGAATTTTATTTACAAAAATAAAACTATTTTGTCCTAATAAGGTTAGTAAATAGTCAGGGTTACCCAGCCCGATAATACAAATCCCTAATTATAACCCTAAATATATAGTCGGGATTCGCAACCCGACTGATCAGAAATCAGATTAAGACAAAATAGATCGATTTTTGTAAAAAACACTCACTTATCGATTTTTAGAAAAAAAAATTTATGAACAGATTTGTTTAGAAAATTTCTTCAATTAACTATACTCAACAAAACTAACGAACTCAAAAACTGATTTTTATCCTTCCTACCATACAGGAAGTGAAACTAGAACACGAAATCTAACAAAAATCATACGCAACAACAGTAATTTTGACACCCACACCGGTCGCCTAGCCTAAGCCAACAAATTAGAAGGACAATAATTTTCTCACTACGCCCTTGTTACTTCATTTGACAATACCATCCAGCAACTACAGCCACTGCACTAGGCAGGACTCCGCAAAATTCAGGGAGCAAACTGCAATAATCACCAGCAGCAAATAAAAATCCAGAATGTACAGTAAGCACACGATAACTACAAATTTCTACTGCAGCAAATAAATTGAGAAATACGCAATAATTTGAAGGATAAAATACAAACATATTACCATGCTATTACCGCAGACTGCTGTGGACAAGTAGCTACTTTCGTTCTTACTTAAGCCCTCCCAAGCAGATTTCAATTAATCCGAACACAGAAGGCTCCATTCAGCAGACGACTGCAGTCAGAGAAACGTCTTCCACAGAAGACCGCAACCAACGAAGCAGCCTCCAAAAACGACTGCAACCAGCAAACAGCACCAGATCGCAGCCAAAGAAACAGCTTCAGCAGAACATCATAGCCACAGAACAGCCATCAGTTGCAGCTCGATCAATAAATGAACTTCACAACCTTTTAATTGCTGCCACTTAATCAAATGCTCAAATAACAAATAATAGACAGCTCCCCTGTAAGTTATATAATACCAACTTCTTTAAACAAGTGGCAAAATTACTCGCAAATTATCTATGGCCTATGACCCAACAACAAAGAGAAGAAACTGCACACTACCCTTCGACAATTTTGCCACAGCATTTACAAGCGTAAATAGGCCAAGGATGCCAGCTTAAAGCCAGAGATGGCAGCTTAAAAACAACACTCATAATTGAGAAAGAAAATCAACAATTACTTGACCAGCAACAACCATCAAGCAAGTAAACATAGTACCAAAGCAGACAAAAGGCCTGGCTCACATATAAAACTAAGCCGCTGCAATCACCCCCCAAAACACAAAGTAAATATTATTAATAGTAGCAACCTACCAAGCGAGCGCACCCAGCATGGCAAAGGTCTTGACAGATAGAAGTGCATACCAAGTGCAAGTCTCGGAATATCATCCTCCCCCGCTTCTAGCAGCTCATTTATCGCAAAGTGCACTAGATACACCATTCAGTAACGGAAGCAACAGATACCTCGAATGATCCAAAGCTCAACAAAGGTCGGCGGTACTAATGCTGAGTCGAAACACCCATTTGAATACATTCCTCTGTTCAGATCATGAACGGATGGCAGAAAATTCATCACACAGCTGATGACGCCCACTGATCACTCTAAAAATACAAATGATTACACAACACCACTCTACAAGATCTTAATACAATGACTTCAAAAGCACACAAGATTTTACAAATAAGTTTCAAGAGTGGATCAATGAGCATGAAGAAAAGCTTTGCAATATTATAAAATAATTGGAAGACAACATGAGTAAATAACTATCAAACGTTAATCAACATATGCCAAAGGAAAGACGCCACCTGACAACCACACCTTGAGAGTGAAAAGGAACTATATAATTAACAAATAGTTCACCAATTATTCGCGCAAACTCTCAAGCCACATTTTATTTGGAGTTCATCCGACAGTAAACGAGTAGTTTAATGTTCATACAGTAAATGATTAGAGCCACATTTTATTTGGAGTTCATCCGACAGTAAACGAGTAGTTTAATGTTCATACAGTAAATGATTAGATTTTAATATTGAAGTCGTAAACATATATAATTTAACAAAATCTATAATTCAATTGGTATATTCTATTTGTTTGCATATCTGAAATTCACTTAAAAGAGTGTTTGGTCCAAATGCCATGATGTTAAAATTTGTAATATCATTGAGAGTTTCAAATCAATAGGGCTCTATACATGCTTCTAAGATTCATAATATTTTGTTTGGTTGAACTTCATTATAGGAAAGCAAATCCTAAAAGCCCTAATATCTTGTTTGGATCAAACCCAAATTATTGGATTCCAAAATACAAAGAGCCTCACTTAATTATCCCAAAACTTATAAACCACACCAAATGTCAATTAATTTTGCTTACACCAAACAACCCTTTCGAGTCCGGCATGCACGATGACATCAACAAGCAAGTTCGTACTTTTTTAGGTTTCATGCCAACTCTCACCAGCTTAAAGAGCGAGCTCTTTAACTGGATAAAAGATAACGTAATATTAAACTATTCATCATAAAATTACGTAATACGAATCTGCGCTAAAATTATGTAGTTTCTAACTTCAAAATTACAATTAATGAAGTAATCATATCAAATTATACATTATGTACTAGTGAATATTCGAAAAACAGACGTGCTCAACTTCCAAGAACACCATTAAGGGAGATTTGAATTTTAGTCGAATCTGAAGGCTTGAAATGAACACAAACACCTACCGTGCTATTTAACTCAAAATCATCAAAGAAACCAATAAAATGAGACTCAAATTTGTAAATTAGGTGATGCCTCGAATAAATCGTCAGGGGCGTTTATGTGCGAGATGTAATAAATATATCGAAAACTAGGCCGTCACATAGTACTCCAGCGCAATTTCAATTCTAGCTTATTAGTAGACACACCCGCAAGATTCTAACTTCCCCAGTGAATCGACGAAAAAGTACTGAAAACGGATTGTGCAAGTTTTATGTACCTGGCTGCAGGCAGGCAGATCTCCAGAGCGGAACGGATTATCTAACCAGCAGAAAACCAGAAGGAGAAAGCAGGCACCAGCAACAGGGGGAGAGAACCCGGGGTTGAAAAAATTTAAGCACCCCGTACGATCTCCCCCCAAAACACACAAAAAAATAAATTTTATTAATGAAGGCGACCTGCCATGCGAGCGCACCCAACATGGCAAAGGTCTGGTCGTAAGGAAACACATACCGAGTACAACTTCCAGATCACTGCGTCTCTTCAGCAAGCCAGACCCCAGGGTACCCAAAACAAGTACATCGCACCTCTCTCAATTTAATTTTCTTACAACAGAAAGGCTTACACAGCGCACGTTCGTCAAATCTCTACAGATCGGAGAGACGCGGGGTTAGATCTGGGCCAGATCTCCCCCATCAAAGAGAAATCAGCGAGATTCGGATGCCCGAAGCGAACAGACATCGCCGACGTGAAACAACCCATCCAGATCTCCACGGATTCGCACGGATCTGGAGGCGAACGAGTCAACACCTCGTAGATGTGGACGAAATCATCCGCAAGCATGATGACTCAAAGCTAACCACCTGCAAAACTTCAAAAAAGAAAATTTTTTGGGGGAGGAGAAAAAAACATGAGCCTTAAATAAATCGAACGACATCCCACCAAAAGATCTCGGATCTATGGCCGGGATCAACAACGGAGGGAAGGAGGGAGGGAGGAAAGAGAGCGGCCAAGGGATGGAGAAGGAACGAGAGGGGAGGGCTCTATTTATTGGGTTCCTCAACAAGATCGGCGGACGAAATTAAGCGGTGGGACACATCAACGGCTGCAAAACGTGACACGTTTTGACGCTGGGTGACAACCATTCAATTAACCTTTAGGCGTGAAACCTCTCTGCGCACCCAACTTCCTCACCTCTTTGCAAGTTGTGGGCCCTTGTTAACCTAAATAAGGGGGGGCGTTCTTGTTTTGGTGCGGCTGTTTTCGTCCTTATTCTTATTAATGGGAAAGCATCTCTTTTATAGTATGAGGTCACCGCTGTACTTGTGAATTATCAACTTAGAAAGAATGATAAGAAGACTTCTATTGAGCCGGTAGCGGGGGCATTGGTTGCAAGAGCAAAGAGGCCAAACCGAGGTAGAAGATCACAGTCTAGAGGGGCACATTTTGGAATTCATAGGAATCAGTGTGTTTTTTGTAAAGAAAATAGACATTGAAAAGCCGAATGCCCAAAATTGAATGATCAAGCTAGGAAGAATAAGGGGAAAACGATTGAACCTTCAAATGTGAATGTTGCCAAGGCTAGTGGCAATATTTCAGATTCAGATTCTTCGGGCTATTTGTGCCCAGCACTCCCGTCAGTTTGTGTTGCTGACTCCACTGAGTAGATGTTGGATTCGGGTGTCTCATACCATATTTGCCCTAGGAGGGATTGGTTCTCAAGCTTTCAGGAGTTGGAAAGAGGGGATATTGTGCTCATGGGTAATGATCACAAATGTCCTATTGGTGATATCTGTACAGTTCGTATTCAGATGAGTGACGGGGTCATTCGGTTTCAAATGCAGATGACGCGTTGATTGTTTTGAGTGCAGCTGATAGGCGCAGTTTGGACATGACCATTGGTTCACCTCAGGTAGAGGTGTTTGGATCGTTTCAATTTGAGGTCATTGGAGGTGCTATCACTCGCAGATTTGGTGATGATGAAGGAGGGTTGCGTGCTCTTCTATTGGATTGAGGGCCTTTGGAGGCCATTGGATGAACTACGTGAAGACTTGATTCATTGGGCAAGAGGATACGTATGCAGTTAGTTTTGATGCAGCCGATTTGATGAGTAGATACCGACGTTTGGGAGAGTGTTCGCACTCCTATTTGGGTCTCGACTTGTTGTGGATTGAGTCTGTTGCCATGAATCGTTTCACGGCGTACTGGACGTAACAAGTGGGACATTTGGTTTGGTTGGTGTCGGCTCAGTTTTGGAAGAAACTTCATCGAGGTGGAGAATTGAAGAAACCGCGAAGAAATTTTGGATCAGAACAAGTTTGGAGGCGCAGGAATCGTTTTGGGTGTTGCGCGGCCGGTCGACCGCGGCACAAGGCCGGTCGACCGCGAACGTGCACAAGCCAGAGTAGGAGTCTGGATTTGGTGCGGTCGACCGTCGCGGTCGACCGCGAGACCCTGTAGGCGAATTTGGTCTCTGTCGCTGGAGAACTTTAGGCGATCGACCGCCAATCGGGTCAGGGCATGTTTTGTGTTTCCTGTTCTTATTGGGTTTTGGTGTTTACATAAATATCAATACGCGTTCTAAGGTTTCTTAAGGCTAGAGTTTGGGATATTTTGAGCACAGAAAAGAGGTATTTTCTGAGCTACTTGATTAGGGTTTATTTGGAGAGATTAAGAGCTTTGTGGTAAGATTAGTTTGTTCCTTCGAGTGATTTGTAATCTCAATTTGTACTCTTATTCTCTATTAATGAAAACCTCATCCCATTCTTGCCCCGTGGACGTAGGCAATTGTCGAACCACGTTAAAATTGGGGTTTTGAGTTTGTGCATTGATTTTGGTTGGATTTTGTCTTCTTTGATCGGCGATTGGTTTGGTTCCTCGACACGGGTTTTACCCAACATCTTTAATACGTGCAACTTAAGCATAGAATTTTAATGTCTAGGACCATATTGAATTTATCCTTGCTTTGACTAATTATCACTAGATCTTATCTTTGTAGTTATTTCTTAGCATAATTGATGAATTATTATTGAGAAATTCTTTATAATTCATTATTTTAATACTGGCATATTCATTTCGGTTGTAATTAAATCAAGAGATAAATAAGCTTAGTTCTAGCCTGCCTAGGTTACATTAGAAGTCCTAATTTTTAGTATCAATTCTATGTAAGATACGACGGGCTACTACACTAGTCTACTGTGCGCTTGCGGTTATATAATTGACCAATCAGAAACATAAGAGTGAAATAAATTTATTAATATATCAAACGTTTCAATTCATCCATATTTCAATAGTTGTATGTTGCAACACCAAAGCATTGTTCTTAAACAACGTACAAACTAAAGAGCATCCTCAGTTGTTTAACTAATCAGAAACATAAGAGTGAAATAAATTTATTAATATAGGAAACGTTTCAATTCATCCATATTTCAACGCGCAAATTCAGTTGTATATACCGCAACAAGGCATTGTTCTAAACAGAAGTTTCGCCCATTGCTCATATATTAGGCCCCTCAATCTTTAATATTTTACCATCGCTTTCTCACATTGAGATTCCTATCAAGCTCCTGTCGTATCTTTAATATTTTAGACCCAGTCCCTCATTGAAATTTTTCTCGAGTCCATTTAATCTTTAATATTTTGGAATTAGTCTCACACTCATTAAAATTGCTACCAAGTCCCTTTAGTCTTTAATATGATATCTTGATACTTGCAAATTGAAATTGCTATCTAGCCCCCCACCTTCTTAAGTTACTACAAAATTAGCCCTTTAAATCATTGAACTGCTTACAGGCTCCCAAAATCTCGGGGAAATTACATGATAATATAAATGATCCGTTGCTCCTACTATTACCTAAACGCACATTAAAATTGCTATTAAGTCCCTTTAATCTTTTAATATGAGATCTTGATACTAGTCTTCACAAATTGAAATTGTTATCTAGTCCCCCAACTTCTTAAGTTACTTGAAAACTACCCCTTCAAATCATTGAAAATCTCGGGGAAATTACACGATAATATAAATGATCCCTTGCTCCTACTACTACCTAAACGCATCCTAAATTTCCATAGACTAATCAATAAAAAGCAATTCACTGTCTACTAGAAATTTAGTGCAATGTTTAGGGGGTGTTTATTTCAAATTTTTTTTGGGATTTTGGTTGGATTTCAAGTTTTGGAATGTAAAAAGGTACTTTTTTGAGTTTTGGTATTCCATAAACCTTGTTTGTTTCAAAAAAAATTGGGATATTGAATCTCTAAATTATAAAAAAACTAATTGTTTTTAGGATTTGTGAAATCCTCTCTTTGAGTTAGGATGTGGGTTGGATTTCTGACATCCTCATGTTTAGCTCATCACAACCCTAAATGAGATCCCAAAATCTCAATGACGCTTCCAACTCTAGAGTCACCGCTTCATTTTCGTCCCCCTCCTCTTTTACCCGCCATGTCCATTTTTCGCGCAAAAACCTCACTGGCCTACGCCTCCTCCTCGGCATCCCCAACTCCGCCTCTATGACGCCACCTCCTCCCTCCTCTCCGCCTCTATGACGCCACCCCCTCCCTCCTCTCCACCCTCAGCTTCACTGGCCTACGCCACTCCTCGGCATCCCCAACTGCCAGCTTCTCGCCCTCGCCTCATCGGCATCCCTAACTGCCAGCTCCTCTCCCTCGCTTCTTCCCCCTCCTCCCTCTCCACCGAGGTCTCCCGTCACGTCACCCCCTTCCGCTACCAGACCCTAACGTACTCCACCCCCTTCCGCTACCAAGTCTCTATACAAAAAAGAGAAAAAAGGGGGGAAAGGGGGGAAAAAGCGAACCCGCCAAAAAAAATTCATCATGTCTTCTCCTAGCAAGCGTCGTGAGATTGATTTGATAAAACTGTGAATTTTCTCGATTGCCCTTTTGTTGGTTTTTGATTTGGCTGACTGAAGTTTGCTTTTTTTTTCTTATTTTTGGGGGTATTTTTGATGTAGGATGATGAGTGATTACAAGGTGGAGATGATAAATGATGGGATGCAAGAGTTTTATGTAGATTTTCATGGGCATAATGACAGTACATTTTTTTCATCATGTCTTCTCCTACGCGTCATTGCCAATTCCTAACTTCTTCTACAATCGGCGCCCAAAGTCGTCAATAACACCAAATATTCGCCTAATGTTCAAAGGTCTAAAGAAAACTTTGGTATGTTACAATCGCTCTGTCTTACATTCCCTTATCTGTCTCTTTAAATGCCTATTACCTGTGTGACTAAATCTCTGTTAGATATAAGAATTTCTTTTGCATTTGTTTTGCTGCATTATGTGGTGTAACTGTGTGACTAAATCTCTGTTAGATATAAGAATTTCTTTTGCATTTGTTTTGCTGCATTATGTGGTGTAATTTTGCTCTTCTAGTTACTAAACATATAAGAATTTCTTTTGCATTTGTTTTGCTGCATTATGTGGTGTAATTTTGCTCTTCTAGTTACTAAACGTCCATTATTGACAGTCATGAACACCATTTAGAATCATAATCTCATCTTCAGACAATGATTTCTCAAAATAGGTTGTACTTTCACTATAGTTATATGGTTTATATTTATATGGATGTTAATCCGTTAGATATGGAGAAAGTTTATGCATGTTTTGAAAGACAAAGAACACATGAATGTCGACCCTCATAGTTCCTTCATCATCTAGAATTAACAAGTTAATACGTAAGGTTGGTCCTCTGAGAAATCATGCATCAACAGAAAGATCTGTATTTACCCAATTGCTAAGCCGAAGACTCCATCAATAGAGCCAATGATTGGATTTATGTCTTTTTTTGTTGCTTTTGGGTGAAAATGATTGGATTTGGTTATATATTTGAGCCCCTACTTTGAACAGCCTTGGTTATTTGAGCTTGTTTTTGATGGCTTGCTAATTTGGTTGTTTCAGTTTAAGTTTGTCGTTGAGCTTGGTTGCTTGTGAGCTTGCTTTTTTCCCATGGTTTTAGTTTCAGTTTCAGTTTCATATTTATCAAAGTCAAGGTACTTAATCACATGCTTGCAT